GTATTACTTGATTTCCGACGTATATGACAGGAAGTTTAAATATTACAGAACTCCGCGAGTATTTGCAGTAGAAATACGAAAGTTCCACCAAAAAAATCCGCTTGAAAAGTTCTATGAAATCGAACAATGTAAAATAGCCATAAATTATAAACTAGGCATACTTGAACAATGTAAACTAACCATACCATACTATATACAATAAACTCGAAGAATGTAAACAATGCATCACTAAGCCATACCTTTCGCCGAATATAACTTCGGCCCCTTTCAACATATCTTTTTGGTATTAGTCTTGTTTGGAACACAATCCAACACACTATTTAGAGTGTTATTTTCAAGCTTGTATGTACAGTTCTGCATGTTTTATTTCCCGCGAAATGATAGGGATACTTGTATCCCTAGTGATGTGGGAATGTAGGGTGGTTCTTTAGGGATACGCAGAACACGACCGCCATATTGCCGGGGATACACATATCCCTAGTGAGGTGAGCATGGGGATACACAAATCCCTAGTGATATTAGTAGGGGATACACAAAACACGGGGATACTCATATCACTGTGACACCGGCTTCACTTTTGCTTACTAGTCTGTACCTCTGTACTAGTGATTGTGACGGTGTGACGGTGTGTGACGCGTCACAATATTTTAGTGCCGTTTTAAATAAAATTTATCGTGCACCAGATGCGGTTTTGTGTGGGAAAAATGACAACATAGCGACAGTGTTTATCCAGAAGCGAAAAACAGTATTTTACTGAGATTTTAACGTCAATATAAAGGTTATTCCGTGAAAAATCAAGACAACTATAGAATGAAAGTATAATTTTTCGAATTTGACATTAATATGAAAGAAAACAAGAGGTCAAAAATCACAAGAGAACGTCAAATGTCATTGATTCGTACGGGAAAATATGAACTATGGCTGTGGCTCGATAACATTCTGCAAGCAGCTTACGAGTTTAAAAAATGAAGGCTACATTACCTGAGTGAGTTGTAATCTTATTTCTTCAACAATAGTTTCATATTTCTTACGATTTTGGTGTTGTATAGACGTTTTGTAGCCTTGTTGGTTGTTTGTTTTGGCCATACAAACTACGACAATAATACAAAGTCAAAGGTTTCCTTTTTCGATTGACTCCAGCATCTTTTGCTTTAAATATCATGTTATATTTTCTCAGAAGTATTTTTTTCAACTTTCAAACTCAGTTTTATAGATATTATTTTCGAAAAAAGCCGTAATATTCACGAAAAAAAGCTGCCATAGGCGACAGCAAAAAAAACATTTTTTCAATTTTCCCGCGTTTTTCCCCGTTTCCTAGGATACAAGGCCTCGATCACGATTTATGAATAAGGTCTATCACCACAGCTAGAAAGAGTTCAAAGAGCGTCTTGGAATTAGTAATATTACAAAGTTTGGTTGCAAAATGTTGTAAAATACAGAAAATAGAGCCCTTCAAATTTGGCAAATTTGTATACATAATACAAATTTTGTATTACGTGCGTGAATTCGTAACTAAATTAGTTACCAATTCACGCACATAATAGAAATATATACAAATTTGTCAACTTCGCAGGGCTATATTTTCCGTATTTTACAACATTTCGCAACCAAACTTTGCAGTTTTTCTAATTTTGATATCTCCTTCCCGGAAATATCATTTGTTATTCCCAGATTAAAAATTTTTCTAAAGCGCAAGTCGTCCATTGGCTCCATTTTAATATACTACACACGTAAAAACGGCAAACACGCAAGTTCTCACAGGTCTGCAAACAAGTTGTTACAAATCTGTTCACAAGCTGTCTACAAGTGGTGTTAGCAATGCTAATTGTTCCTAGTTGTTGCCGAACGAGTTTGGAACAATTTAAAAAGTTGTTAACAACTTGTAACAAGCTTGATGGCATTAATTATCAGACTTGTTGCAAGGTTGTTCCGACAAGTCTGATACAGTCATGATATAACAAGAATGATAATTACTCTCACGTCACACGGAGAAAAATCTCAGATGGCTAAAGCCCCGTTTACACTACGCTCAATTTTTGGTACGGCACGGATAAAATTGGTATCCGTACCACTTTTTTGGTTTCAAAAACCTAGCAAAATTAAGCCCCGTTTACACTACGCTCGATTTTTGGTACCGTACCACTTTTTTGGTTCTTGGACTACCTAAATAGGTAGTCCAAGAACCAAAAAAGTGGTACGGGTACCAATTTTATCCGTGCCGTACCAAAAATTGAGCGTAGTGTAAACGGGGCTTAAATCACAGATATTGTAATCTCCCTTATTTTATGCACCACACCTTGGTAGGCCTGCAAGCTGTTGACAACTTGTAACAACCTTGTTGATATTTATACAGTATCAGACTTGTTGCAAGGCTGTTACAACAAGTCTGATTCAGTGATTTCAGTCATGATTTTATCCCCCTTTCCACGTTTTATCCTATGCCTTTCCCCGCGATTTATCCCCTTTTTCGCTTCCGGAGTTCCGGCCTTCCGGATCCGTTTATAGTGAAGTATCACCAGGTATCACGTCTGAACACGTTTCATTTTCTGGCGTCTCTCAAGTCTCAAAGCGAGCAGCGAAAGTTGAATTACAAAGCTTTGTCTGCTCTTTATAACTTCTAGTTATCAATAATGTGAAGTGTAAATCATTGTAGTTTAAGTTATGTTGCTTTCAACCTTGGTGATTTTGCGGAGTTGAACTTTTGGTGAATAAATTAATAAAACGACGAAATAATGGCGTGCAGTATAAAATACGAGGTTGGGTATGAAGACAATCGCTTCGAGATTGTTGTCAGTCAAAGATTTCACTGCCCCATTTGTTTGCTGGTTCTTAAAGATCCCGTTATGTGCAAGAACGAACACTACTATTGTTCTTCATGTATGAAAAAGCATTTGGAAAACTCCTCATTTTGTCCGACGTGCCTTGAACACCTCAGTGTTGACACACTGAGGCCAGCATCGAGGATTGTCAATGATTATATATCTGAGCTGAATATTCATTGTGATTTCTACACCAGAGGATGCCCTGAAATGGTTCAAGTTGAAAATCTCAAACGTCACGTTGCAAGTTGTGGATTCTCTCCCGTGCAATGTTCGAATGATGGATGTAATGTTCTTGTGAATGCCAGTGACAAGCTTCACCATGAAACTGAAGTATGTGATTTTAGGAAAATGAAATGTTATGATTTTGATCAAATCAAGAATGAAGCGAAAGAAATGAAAGATGAAATGCTGGCTCGTCAAGATGACATGCAACATGAAATGAAAGGAATTAAAGAGGAAATGAAAGGTGAAATAAAGAATAAAGTGAAAGAGGGAATGAAAGAAATTATGGAAAATGAAATGAAAGGGCTGGTTGAAAATGAAATGAAGGAAATGAGAAACCGAATCAGAAATGAAATGAGAGATATGAAAATAGAAATAAAGAATGAAATGAAAGGAATGATTGAAAATGAAATTAAAGGAATGAAAGAGGAAATGAAAGAAATAGTTACAAATGCAGTGCGAGATGCAATGGCGGGAATAAAAAATCCCAATATTGAAATGAAAAATTCAATACAAGGCCCACAAGCATTATGTTCTTCACATGGTGCAATCACACCTTTCAGCGGTATTGGAAACCAGTCGGCAACGCCTACTCCATTCAATTTCAGTGTAACCTCAGGTGCTCACAGCCATCTATTCAATGTCGGTCAAACAACTGAGCAACCTAGTCTGTTCAACATGGGAGCTACAACTACAACACCTAGAGTCTACAGAAAAGCCGTAAGACGCCCCCGATGGTAAGTCATTGTCGATCGGTACCTGACAATAAATGACTGACCAAACTGGATTCTGCAGGTTTTGAAGGTCGTACCTGTTGTTGTTTTTTTTTTGCATGAAGACCGAATGGTAGTCACTGGAGGTTTTGATGAGTGCAAAAATGAACACAATAAAGTGTTTGAATGTTGCAGATCCAGCAACCGGACATGGAAAAATTTTGCTGTCAATGTTTTTGTCACATGCTACTAGCATAAAGTTGTCAACCATGATTGGCTGTTTATTTTTGGATCTGGGTGGTTTAATGGTGATACTGACAAGAGACTGTCCAAATATTCATGCAACCAGAAAATTTCTTTTCCCCCATCACTTTTCTAATGATCCATCACTTCGATAACGACCATTGTTCATCCACCATAACCAGGCCACCATATTTTTGCTATTATTGTGTATGCACCTCCTCACAATTTTTTGACAGCCATTACTGTGTTCAAAGATCAGTATACTATAGTGTATATAGAGAATAATACATGGGTGTGCGGAAATACCAGATTTATTTCGAGTGTTGAACACGATATCTCAAGAGTGAGCGCAGTGGACAAGTGAGATATCATGTTCAACACAAGAAATAAATCGGGAATTTCCAAGCATCCATGTATTTTTCTGTTTATTATATAAAGGACAGTCTTTGAAAAGTGATAATTTTTACAGAAAAGCGATAATTAATTGAAAAGCGATAATTTTTGTATCATAAATAATCACACATGTGAGATTATCAGTTCTATCAGTGGTTGAAATCTCTATAAAGCACTATACATTTTATAGTAAATATTATTATTACAACATTTATAACAATTGTTGTTTAGGGACGGACCATTAGAAAAGTGATGGGGGAGGGGTGGGAGCCGTGGGACATTTCCAACCCAACAACCAAAATTTTTTCGGACTAACATCAGATACAAAAAATTTTTCCCTCACAAATTCTAGTTAAAATATGCTTAAAACCTTTTTTTGCACCAATATCTTCAATATTTAGGTTTAGAAACATTCTCACACCATTACTTCTATCAAAAAAGTTTTATTTTCCAAATTTGGGGGCCACCCTTACACAACTTATAATTTTCCCTATTGAAAAGTCTCTGCACGAATTTTTTTAAAACTTTTCGTGCTCGAATTTTTTTTTCTGTTCCCCCTGCTTTATTTTTGCTTTTGCCCCATCACTTTTCTAATGGTTTGCCCCTTACTAATATTTGCATTGTGTTCTGTTTGTAAGACATTAAATGTTTGTCTCAAATTTCTGTCCTTGACTATTCCTTGAAATGTCCTTATGACCTTTTTTTCATTCGGAGCAGGTACGAATCTTGGTTAAATTGCCTATTATCCAAAGTGGATTATTTTTAGCATCAAGTGGGCAGGATGTCACTAGTCTCACTATAGTGAACTGGTAAAATATTTGTTGAAGTTTAAGCGATGTCATGACTGCATGATGCTAATATTGACGTCACAAAACACGTCTTAAATGACATTCTAAATTTGGCAAAAATTTATGATATGTGTATGTAAGTCTGAATTTACTTTTCAGCTGTGGACAGTATAGTTGGTTTGTGTTTTATAGCCACATCAAATACACTTAAAATTCTTCATGGTACGTCATCTGATTAACACACTCTCATTGAAGTCAAAAACCCACTCAGGCAGGAATTCGTTATTGAACTTAGGAAACGTTTTTGCAATTTCGTTTATTTCTCTTAGAATAGACCAGCTTTGAAACTTTTTGTATAATGGAGGATAGGCTCGTCAAATCGCGACAAAAATATTTATTCTCTTATAACTTGGATAAAACTCTGGTAAACTTGAAAAAATATTTGAAAAACTGTGTTCTCAATTTAATCAAAAACCCTGGTTTAGAAAAAGCTCAACAATCTCATTATTAAATTCCACCTTATTTTCACTAGCCTTTGTTAAAAACATCCATAAGAAAAATCTAAAATTTCGATCAAAGGCCGGCTGCTCGCCTCGAGACATACAGCATGTTGTCAGGTTCAAGGTTAAAATGCGGATCCGTTCCGCATTTTAACCCCATATCCGTTCCGCATTTTAACCCCATCCGTTTCGTTCCGCATTGTAACCCCATAACTGCTCGAAATTAGAAAAATTTCTTTCCTGTTTAGAAAAACGTTCGCAGTGACCAGCAAGTAACTGCCGTTAGAAAGAACAAAATATAAGAAATTGATCAAAATTGTCTCATTTACTCATTGAGCCTGCTATTTCCTGCACTTTAGAAGAAGATTTACAGAGTTCTAAAGGTAACAAAATGTCATAAAATATCTGAAATTTCTCTGTCTACATGCGTAACTGAAATAATATCAATTAACTTTGTGGTTTATTGACCATTGTTAAAAGTGTGTTTGGGGGGGGGGGGGAGAAGACATTTAGCCCCCCTCCCAACTAAAAAAGTGCGGGGGGGGGCACACACGCCCAGAGTGCTTGGTCACAGTACTTGTATGTTTATGTACCAGTCCAGTCGCAACGCTTCTAAGAAACGGCTTCTCCATGCTATTATTATAATAAAACATCCTTCTAGAACCTAGACATTTGAAAATGTTGCATAAGCTTTTAATTTGTCACGGTTTGTGATTTTGTTTATCAGTCACACGGTTAAGATAATTTGCTTGAATATGGATAACGAAGGAATGAATATGATTTTTTTGTATATATTTCTTTATTAATTAAATTATAAAGCTGTTGAAAACCAAAGAATCAATGCTTCCGTTTTCCGGGGTCATGAACCTGACATCACGAGATTTTCTCATGCAAATTTATATCACGTTTCAGTTGTGGCGTCTCTCAAAACGAAAGTTGAATTACAAAGCTTTGTCTGCTCTTTAAAACTCCTAGTTATCGATAATGTGAAGTGTAAACCATTGTAGTTATGTTGCTTTTAACTTTGGAGATTTTGCATTGAACGTTTGGTGAATAAAACGACGAAATAATGGCGTGCAGTAAATACGAGGTTGGGTATGAAGACAATCGCTTCGAGATTGTTGTCAGTCAAAGATTTCACTGCCCCATTTGTTTTCTGGTTCTTAAAGATCCCGTTATGTGCAAGAACGAGCACTACTATTGTTCTTCATGTATGAAAAAGCATTTGGAAAACTCCTCGTTCTGTCCGACGTGTCTTGAACACCTCAGTGTCGACACACTAAGACCAGCTTCGAGGATTGTCAATGATTATATATCTGAGCTGAATATTCATTGTGATTTCTACCCCAGAGGATGCCCTGAAATGGTTCAAGTTGAACATCTCAAACGTCACGTTGCAAGTTGTGGATTCTCTCCCGTGCAATGTTCGAATGATGGATGTAATGTTCTCGTGAATGCCAGTGACAAGCTTCACCATGAAACTGAAATATGTGATTTTAGAAAATTGAAATGTCATGACTGTGGCCAACTCAAGAACGAAGTGAAAGAAGTGAAAGATCAAATAAAGAATGAAATGAAAGGGATGAAAGAAGAAATGAAAAGTGAAATAAAGAATGAAGTGAAAGAGGGGATGAAAGAAATTATTGATTAAGTATTAGTTCATCAAGTTCAGATGCAAGATAGATTATCGAGTGAAGTAAAAGAGGAAGTAAAAAATGAAGTGAGAGATATGAAAGTGGAAATGAAGAATGAAATGAAAGGAATGATTGAAAATGAGATGAAAGGAATTAAAGAGGAAATGAAAAATGAAATGAAAGAAATAGTTATGAGTGCTGTGCGAGATGCAATGGCGGGAATAAAAGGTTTCGAAGTTGAAATGCAAAATTCAAATCAAAGTTCACAAGCAACATGTTCCGCAGATGCGAGAGAAAATATCTTTGTAGTTGGAGGACATCACAAGCAGGATGGGAGAAGTGTGAAGAATAAATCCACTGAGTATTTCAACTGGGCTGACCAAACCTGGACATTGCTGGATTCTGCAGTATTTGAAGGTCGTTTTCACACTTGTTCTTTCCTGTATCAAGGTCAAATGGTAGTCGCTGGAGGCTCGTATGGCAACAACAAAACAAACACAATGAAATGTTTGAATATTGCAGATCCAGTAGCAACGTGGAAAGATTTCGCTGTCAATCTTCCTGTCAAGTGCTTTCGTCATAAAGTAATCAACCATAATGATCAGCTATTTATGTCTGGAGGATGTGTTGAATCTACTGACGGGGGGCAGGCTGTACGTTCTGACGCTGTTTATGAGGTACAGTTGGTTCCACCATATTCCAGTAAGATGTTGACAAGATTACCACAAGCAAGATCCAGTCATGGCATGGAAATGTTTGATCAGAAATTGTTTATTCTTGGAGGGTATGATGGTAAGAGGATCACAGCCAGTGTGTTTCAGTATGATCTTAACAAGAGTGAATGTAAAGAAATGCCTCCATTGCCATATGCTGTGCGTGAAGTTGGAACTGTTATATGGCAGAATAACGTGCTTGTGATTGGTGGAAAGGATGCAGGTTATACTCCTTTGAATAAATTTGCAATGTATGACGTCATCACAGGTCGTTCTCAAATGTTGCCAAGTATGAAGCATAAGCGATATGGTTGTACAGCAGTCTTAACTGGCAATATTGTAGTGGTTATGGGAGGAAAGAATGGGAAGGACGATTGTCTTAAGTCAGTGGAATGTTTTGATTTAGAACGTCAAGTTTGGCAAGACTTGCCCGACATGCTTGAATCGAGAGCTCATGCCACTGCAGTAGTCAAACCAAACCATTGAACTCAAAGGACATGTAGCATGGCTGTTCTTAGACTATACCAATTAAGATATCGAGGGAACAAAGATTGTTTGAAGTTGTACCCAAAATAATATCTTAATGTAAGCCCGAATTAAACGATGATAAGAGTGTATGAGTGTTGGCGCTCTCCCAATGCTGTCATGTATTCTATTTAAGTTAAAACATAGTTACAACGCGTAACGAATCTTTATTTTGTTAATCTAGAGCTGGAAATGTCCCCTGCAAATGCGTGACTGCCAACTTTCATCAACTTATATCCTCGTTTCACCAGGGTCTATAGATTGGACAAAACTCCCGCCGCGTCAAGTGAAGCCCATTAGAGACTTTACGATTTTAGGACGGCAACGCGACGGCGACGGCCAAAACAAACTCCTTGAAATAAATGGTAATAAAGATAGTTCGTCGTACATTATCAATCGTATCAATTTAATACAGTCTTAAAAGTTAAAGACATGGGTTTTATGGTTGGGAAGAGTTCTGCTCAACCCAGTTTGAAGTTGCACTTGTTGTGGCTTGGAATGCAGCCGTTGTATCAAGACGTGAAAATCTGTCATTTGGTGTTGTTAACAGAGCGAGGAAAATGTCTAAATTATTCATATATTGTAATTACTCAATTCTTTTCAATGATCTATTGTATTGGTAGTCGTTGCCGTCGCGTTGCCGTCCTAAGATCGTAAGGTCTCTAGCTGTTGTTCACTAGGCGACATTTTTAACGCGAAGCATGTCAAAATAAGAAAATATCAGTTTCAAATTTTTCTCCGTGAATATTGTCGTGTTAAAATTTCAGGTTGCTTTTCGATTTGCTTCGCATGAAATATTCGGCCTAGTGGAAAATGAGCTTAGATAAATTCAAGTGGCGTTAGCCGTTAGGGCAAAATACTATGCAATACATTGATACGTTGCGAGTGTGTAAGCCATTGGTTTGTCGAAGTTAAGTTTGGGCACTTTGAGAAAAGTATGATGATGACTGCATGATAAGTTAAAATGTCGCGGATAATATGTTTAAAAAAGTGAAAGATTTTAGTACAGTTCCTACAAAGATAGCATTCCAGTTATTTTTTCGTTCAGTGAACAGAATTGATATGGGTGATTTACTGCATTGACATTATATGCATAATCTCTTGACTTTAGTTATTATTTGATTTAAATTACTTTAACGTTTAACTGATCATATATACAGTTACGTAGCTCTTATACAGTATATAGGTTGTTTTTTATTTATGTGGCATTAGTCAATTTTAATGTGTACTTGGTCACGAAATATATAATATATCCAAAATTAATATGTGTGCGGAAAGAACCATTTAAATTGGAGAGTATACCAATACTCTTAGTTTAAAGTTTGTACCAATTTTTGAAAGAACATTTTTAAAGGAAAACTTTTTCAAGGAAAGCTTGTCATGGAAAGTTTGTCAAAGAAAGATATGATCAATTGTTGTTCTTGGGAATCTTAGATTTTTAGTAAACTTTTTCCTATAAATTTTATGCTTAATGTACAGCCTACCAATGTTTGATGACGAGGTGTGCCCCTCCCTGGCCACAGTATTTACTGTATCTTTTATTCACCTGTTGTGACTCTTCTATAGGAAACACTTGTCGCTCCCGTCATGCATGCTGTCATTATGAAACAGCCGTTTAGGCATTTAGAAATATTGCCTAGCCTTTGATATTTTGCGGTTAGTAATTTTGTTATATTGACCACACGAATTAAATAGGAGAATTTGCATAAATATTCAATAACAAAGTTTACTCTAAAATCTCCGGTATAAAGCTTTTCGGTATTTTTATACGATTGTGAACTTAGATTTCTATTTGTCTGATTCAAACTGTATTGTTATTCTTATATGCGCTTAGGGTAAGTCTTAAACACACGAATTCATAAAATCAATTGAAAACAACGAATAACTCTTCTGTTATCCGGCCATGCCCCTGCCATCACGAGATCTGACGACATTTCTTCATGCAAATTCACATAATGTTTCAATTGTCGCGTCTCTCAAAAAGAAAATTGACTTACAAAGCTATGTCTGCTCTTTAAAACTTTTAATTATCGATAATGTGAAATGTAAACCATTGTAGTTATGTTTCTTTTAACCTTGGGGATTTTGAATTGAACTTTTGGCAAATAAAACGACGAAATAATGGCGTGCAGTAAATACGAGGTTGGGTATGAAGACAATCGCTTCGAGATGGTTGTCAGTCAAAGATTTCACTGCCCCATTTGTTTCTTGGTTCTTAAAGATCCCGTTATGTGCAAGAACGAACACTACTATTGTTCTTCATGTATGAAAAAGCATTTGGAAAACTCCTCGTTCTGTCCGACGTGCCTTGAACACCTCAGTGTCGACACACTGAGGCCAGCTTCGAGGATTGTCAATGATTATATATCTGAGCTGAATATTCAGTGTGATTTCTACCCCAGAGGATGCCCTGAAATGGTTCAAGTTGAAAATCTCAAACGTCACGTTGCAAGTGGATTCTCTCCCGTGCAATGTTCGAATGATGGATGCAATGTTCTCGTGAATGCCAGCGACAAGCTTCGCCATGAAACTGAAGTATGTGATTTTAGAAAATTGAAATGTCATGACTGTGGCCAACTCAAGAACGAAGTGAAACAACTGAAAGATGAAATGTTGGGAATGAAAGGTGAATTGAAAGTAATGATTAAAAATGAAATGAAGGGAATGAAAGAAGAAATGAAAAATGAAATGAAAGAAGAAATGAAAAATGAAATGAAAGAAATAGTTATGAATGCAGTGCGAGATGTAATGGCGGGAAGAAAAGGTTTCGAAGTTGAAATGAAGGATTCAAAGCAAAGATCACAAGCGACATGTTCTTCAGATGTGAGAGAAAATATCTTTGTAGTTGGAGGGCAACACAAGCAGGGTGGGAGAAGTGTGAAGAATAAATCCACAGAGTGTTTCAACTTGGCTGACCAAACCTGGACATTGCTTGATTCTGCAGTATTTGAAGGTCGTACATGCTCTTGTTCATTTCTGTATCAAGGTCAAATGGTAGTCGTTGGAGGAAATGATGATGGTGGCAACAAAACAAACACAATGAAATGTTTGAATGTTGCACATTCAGCCGCCACGTGGAAAGATTTTGCTGGCAAACTTCCTGTCAAGTGCTCTAGTCATAAAGTTCTCAATCATAACGATCGGCTCTTTATGTGTGGAGGATGGGTTCAAGCTACTGATGGAGGGCTTCCCATACGTTCTAATGTTGTCTATGAGGTGCAGTTGGTTCCACCATATTCCAGTAAGATGTTGACAAGGTTACCACAACCAAGATCTGATCATGGCATGGAAATGTTTGATCAGAAATTGTTTATTCTTGGAGGGTATGATAGTGAGAGGGTCACAGCCAGTGTGGTACAGTATGATCTGATCAAGAATAAATGTAAAGAAATGCCTCCATTGCCATATGTCGTGCAAGATTTGGCTACTGTTGTATGGAAAAATAACGTGCTTGTAATTGGTGGGTTGAATGCAGATAGAGCCTGCTTGAATACAGTGGTAATCTACGACGTCATCACAGGACGTTCTCGAATGTTGCCATGTATGAAGCATAAGCGGTCCGGTTGTACAGCGGTTTTAACTGGCAATATTGTAGTGGTTATGGGAGGGAGGAATGAGAAGGGCGAAGATCTCAAGTCAGTGGAATGTTTTGATTTACAACGTAAAATTTGGCAAGACTTGCCCGACATGCTTGAACCGAGAGCTCATGCCACTGCAGTGATCAAACCAAACCACTGAACTCAAAGGACATAGTTGTTCTAATTAGACTATACCAATTAAGGGGCCGATTACATGGAGAACTTTCAACCCCGGGGTTGAACTCAGCCCTGTTAACCGGGTTGAAATTGTTTGCGATTACATGGACGATTTCAACCCCAGGGTTGAAACGCTATATACTATACGTTCTCGGCATCGATTCCCGGAAGTAAAAAAAGCCTTTATTTTGTTTTCTTGTGATAAATAGTCACTACCACGTATGCTTGAATAACTCATGATAATTTCAGCCCTGGGTTGAAAAGATTACATGACAAAATTTTCAACCCAGGGCTGAGAAGCAGGGTTGAAATTTCAACCCCGGGGTTGAACCCAGCCCTGGGTTGAAAATTTTGTCATGTAATCGCGCGTTTGATTTTGATAGAGTTTTGTATTACAGACAGGGCTGAAATGTCAACCCGGTAAACAGGGCTGACTGGCTGAGTTCAACCCCGGGGTTGAAAATGCTCCATGTAATCGGCCCCTAAGATATCGAGGGAACAAAGATTGGTTGAAGTTGTACCCAGTTTCGGTACACAAAATAATATCTTAATGTTTCATTTAAATTTTAAAACATATCTTAAGCCATTTCTTTAACTTAAGCCCGGATAAAACGAGAATGAGAGTGCATGAGAGTTAGAAGTCTTGGTAAGTCTTGGTAGTCGTACTAAACCATTGAAATCGAAAGACACGTAGCATATTTCCTTTTCAACTGCAATTCTAGTCATAAAGCTAACGAATAGAAATTGGTTGCGAGCTGTATCCAATTTAAGTGCACGAAATACTTTCCTGATGTCTTCTTTAACACCGCCTTTAAGTTTGGATAGAACTCGGATGCACTTCGATAAATATTTCCAAATGTGTGCTCAAAATAACAAATTTGATCATTGTATTAAGTTAAGTTAATAAAAACCTTATATTCCGCAGCCTATGTAGGCTCCTCCGCAGGCATCTCGTCGTCCACTGGGTTGCTTGGATTTACAAAGTCGCCCAAATCGTTGCTTCAATGTTTTTGCCCGTAACCGAGACTACCGAGTTCTGCCTGCCAATCTGAAGGCGATCCCAGCCCAGCAGAGGATACCATAGGCAACGTCTAGTGTAGGTTACCGCTTTCTGAAAAAAGGTATGAATTTCCCGTGCGCGCGTAATACAAAATGACTGAAAAACGGCAAACTTCGCAGGGCTAATATTATCCGCATTTTACAACATTTCGCAACGAAACTTCGGAATATTACTAATTTTGTGATGCTCTTTCAAGCTGTGATGAAATTTTTGTCTAGGCTTATCTAGATCAAAATTTTGTTCATCAGGGAATAGGTCCAATACCCCAAATCACTGTCCGTCCGCCAAAACTTATTGTCATTTCATAAAATCATAAACAGTTTGCATAACAACTGACGACAACTGAAGGAAAGTTTCAAACTATACGGCCCCTTAATAAATTCTTGTCCTATGAATTATGACAATTTATGCACTGATGAAGATCTGGATTTCTGGGTCAAAACTAAAAGCTTTATGCCATGCAGTGTTTTCCACTGATTAATAAACAATTTTATTGGTATGTTGCAGTGCCACTTTTTATTAGTTTAAAATAATCCTAATTGTGGTAGTTATTCTGGAAAAAATTGTAATTAATTGTCGCCTCGCGAATTTTCCAAGGAAAAAGTACAAAAGGAAAAACTATTGCTAAATTGTTGCAGAAATATAGCTATTTATACTGATGGCATAAAAGTAGCAAAATGTGTTACCCAGAGGCGTAGCCAGGGCTGGGCCCGGGCCCCCCTGGCAAAATTTTGGGCCCCCTCTGATAAAATGGATTGTATAAAGAAGGGAATCCTTGATTATATAGCTTCATGCTGTCAATAATGCAAAATTCTGTAGAATATATGCTTTGCTGTGCATCAGTGTGAAACATAAAATCTTGTTCGCTTTTTTGCGGCACACAGCTTGAAACACATACCTTTTCTAACCCTAATTATTTCAATATGTATTAAATGAAGGTTAGATGAAGTTTAAACCAATCTGGGTTTTTTTACCAGTGAATTTTTAACGCGGGCTCGGTGAAAAATCACATGTGTCGACAATTAATTTTACCCAGCACTGCACAGAATATCTTGCGCAAACTTTGCGTCTGGCATGGGCGTTAATCCTGGGGGGATGGGGGGGGACGCGTCCCCCCAGTTTTTGGAGAGGGGAGGACGAATATCTAATTTCCCCCCCACCACTTTTTAACATGTTTAATGAAATTTTGTTTCTTGGTAAACTAAAAACCTTAATGCCTGCTCTGCTATTCATCCAGAATTATGGTTGGAACGAAGACATTTAATTAATAAGATGAAGTACAACGTATGACCTTTTTGTAGCCGTTGGGAGCAAATACTGACATCGCATATGTTATGTGAATACTAAAAATTATTCAAATTGAATTCAAATTGGTACATGTGCATGTAATTTACAAACATTTACATAAAGGCACTATTGGTCGTATTCACCTTCTGTTCTAACTGGCAAGCTGCAGTAAATGATTCAATAATTCGTTTTGCTTGCATCATTTCACTCTTATATATTTAGTCAGTTCGAATTATTATATTGAATAAGGATAAAAGTATATAACAAATATAAAATGAAACATTAACATGCATGATAAATTTAATTATATATATTCAAAGTGGAAGATACTATATATGTATATTTACAGCAAAGAAGCTAAGGTGATAATATATTTTAAACTATTATACATCAATTATTGAGCTAATCGACATAATCTTAATTTACTAATCAGTAACGACTAAATTAAGATTTAAAACTAGATAATTTTATTTTACCATTTTCAAAAGTTCAAATATAGTAAAATATTAAGCAAAAAGATTCCATTTTTGTAGTTTCTCGCCTGATCCCAATTATAAAAGTTGTAGACATAGCATTGCAATCTAACTAGATGAATAACTAGCAACTAATATAATTAATTAACTTGCTTTATCCCACTTGCACAAACTTGTTTTTTAGCGGATTTCTCACATGGTTAAAAATGGATTTAAGATCAGCACATTGTACTATATCTTTACAAGTGCCTCCAAAACGCTGGAAATGCCATTTCAGTGTACCAAAATAAAAAAAATTCCGGGTAGCATACCACCGGACCTTCCTAATTTGGAGTACTAATCCGTCCCCCCTCCCCCACTTTTTGGGATGGATTGACGCCCTTGGCGTCTTACGTTACTGGCGGCTTGGCCCTACCTGGGTTTTTGCTGGCCCCCCCCTGACCAAAAATCCTGGCTACGCCTCTGGTGTTACCTGAGGTATAAACTTTTGTAGTGGAAATATTTAACAGAAAACTGTATTCTTCAATAACTGTGATTCACCTTTCGTAAACAGATGTTTTCAATGAAAAGTTGTAATTTAATCTTGTCATCCGATCTGTGACATCATAAACATGATGTAATTCAAAAAAAATACACAGCAAGGAAATGTACCTTTCAATTTTCAATTTTACGTGATTGCATCACTAAACGGAAACTGTACTTTCTTTTGTCAATTGGCTCTATTTTAATATATTGCACACGTAAAAACGGGTCTGTAAACACAGTTGTTACAAATCTGTTCACAAGCTGTCGACAAGTTAACAACTTGTTATCAGACTTGTTACAAGGTTAGGGTTGTTCTGACAAGTCTGATACAGTCATGATATAACAGGAATGTTAATTACAAGGTTGATGACACAAGGCTGTAACAAAATTTTTAGATCATGACTGTATCAGACTTGTTCAACAACCTTGCAACAAGTCTGACGATATCAACAAGGTTGTTACAAGTTGTCAACAGTTTGTTCCAAACTTGTTGGCAGAATTAGAAACAAGATGTGAGATTTTTACGCCTGTACTACACACGTAAAAATCACACAACTTGTCAACAAGGCGTGTCACGCAACAGGCCTGTAGCAAGCTTGTCAACAAGTTTTAACAATGCTGTTACTTGTTGACAAATTGTTGAATTGCAGGACAATAACAAGTTGTTGGAACAACTTGTAACACGTCTGTTAGCTTCTGTTGAGCTCAACAACCTTGTGGTAACAAGCAGTGCGAACACATCCTGTTGACAAGTGACCACAAGTTGTTGGAACAAGTCTGCTGCAGCCTGCAGATTTGTTACAACTTGCGCGTTTTTACGTGTTACCAAACTGGGGAAGAAAAGTTACTTTATCTGATGACCATTCAATCTGCGTATTTTTTTACACAGCAATAGCATGGTTTCTATTTAAACGGAGCGAGATGAAAACGGAGCCCAAACGCCGTTACTTTTTTGTACCTCTTACAAACCACAGTTAATAGAACAAACCAAGCATCTCAAGTGAAAACAGTAAATTTGAAGGCCTCAGTGCTCAACACCGCTATGTCGACTAACTCTGGTCGACCACGGTGGTTGGTTGCTATGCATTTTGCTCCCGGAAGCGCGGGCTTCGTTTTTTCCAGCGGTGTTGGTGTGAATGCGAAATGGCGTTGTTTATTAACCTTATAACCGGAAAGGTCATGTATTTGGCTTAAAATTTCTTGCAGTTACAGTAAAACAAATTTGTTGGTATATTTTAACTGATTTATAAACTTCCATATTTAAATGGAACGATTGTGATAATTTTATTTAGCTGTCAAATAACCGGTCGGAACTATTAACTGGTGTCGAATACCTCTAGCCTGCGCCGCAGACGATATATCATATTTGCTCCCGTATAGTTTATATTTCATAATACGGAACGCAAACCAATGTACAAACTGTTCCTCTTTTCGCCTAGACTCGTGTTTCTTCATCAGTATATCCAAGTAATTTGGGGAAATTATCTGATGCTGCTAATACATAACATATATCGATTTAAAGTAATATATCGACAGCCGGACAGAGAAACATACTGACTGTTTTGGTTAGTCGCGTCAAAAAACCTAGCTATACTATAGTTCTCGCAAGAATATTTGTTTGTTGAATATGTTCTATTATAAAATTCTTTCATATTATATTTGTGTACGATGTATTTTTGAGATATTCATATATAAACACATAGTTCCATTTGACAATATATATAGCAGATTTAGCTACAGTGCAATCATACCTGCGAAGTATACTACAGCCTACTACAGTTTATTATTTATACTGCGCAAGATCCGTAACCGCATAAAATAATAGTAACATACAGTATACTAGTGATTTAAATTCCTTAAGATACGCAGCTTTCCCTGAAACAGATTTCATATCTTTACGGACACTTAATTTTATCATTTAGTTACAATTCCAAATGTTTTTCATGATGGTTTTCCGTGAGATCATAGTACATCTACCACTATATATCAGATTACCAAGGCATGTTGTCTTTAATAGCGAGAAAACGGCTCCCTCATCTCCGCTTAAATAAAGGCATGTGCAACTGATTTCTTTTGTAAACTATAACTCGGTCTTCTGTAGTTATATTAATGTAAATAAAACTTGCGTAAGGCACACAATAAGCTTTTATCGAAGTCAAGAAACCAGCTAACTCAAGACGCACAGCATGAGGTGAAGTAAACAAATATGAACCTCGCGTGACTTGCATGTCAGATCTCCTTGGCAATAATCTATCGAACTAAAAAGGCAACACAGCGGCAAGTGAAGCAACATGGCGCAGCATGAACGCGTATAAAATGCAAATGCGTTCGTCAAAGAGACTTTTCCCCACACCTTTCTCCGGCACTGCTATCCATTTAGACTTGTTAAATAAATGCTATTCTTCAACTTTGCCTTGAAAAGTTTCTCCGAAATCAAGTTTCAACAAAAATATTTAAAAAAAAACAAGGAAAAATGCCGAATTCTTAGCTATTTCTGCTAATAATTCCGGCAATACTCCGAACCCAGGAGGGTTTTCAAGGGGGGATTGTAGGCCATGCACGTGCGATGCTGTGGGACCCCTAGACAGTACAATTTGTCCTTCTCGGCATGATTCTCATCGCTCAAAAGGCGAAAATACATGGCCACAACAACACCAACATTTTACCGTTTTCAAATAACCGTATAGGTTTTTTGTGCACACGAGCTAATAGACGGTTCGATGTAGTACAGATTGAGCAAGTATCGTTTTAAAACGTTGAAAAATAAACGCAAACAGGAGCGCCAAAGACGCAGTATTTGAACCGCGCCATAATTTACAGCTAGGAAACCGGAAACCAATGTACTCGGGCAATTTGACTCCGGGAGCAAACTGCATAGCAACCAGCCATCGTGAAAGGTCATGTAATGTATTTGGCTTAAAATTTCTTACTGTTAGAACAATTTTGTTGGGTGTGTTTTAACTGGTTTATAAACTTCAATTTTGAAATGGTACGATTGCAATAAATTTATTTAGCTGTCAAATAACAATCAGAACTATATTAACTGCCATAGAATAACTCTAGCCTGCGCCGCAGATGATATATCAAATTCGCCCCTATATTTTTTATCCTTCATATTATGCAAACCCATGTACAAACTGTTCCTCTTTTCACCTAAATTTGTGTTTCTTATCAGTATATGTGGGTGTAATTTGGGGAAAATTGTCTGATGCTGTGTTAATACAGTGTATATATCTATTTAAAGAAATATACCGACAGAGAAACATACCGACTGTTTTGGTTGGTGACAACAAATCTAGCTATAGTCTATAGATCACGCAAGAATTTGTTTGATGAATATGTTCTATTATAAAATGCTTTCATTTTGTGAATGATGTATTTTTGAGATATATAAACACATACTTCATTGTATAGATGACAATATATATAGCAGATTTAGCTACAGTGCAATGATACATGCCAAGTATACTACAGTTTATAATTTATACCGCGCAAGATATGTAACCACATAAAATAATAGCAACATACACTATACTAGTGATTTAAATTACTTAAGATACGCAGCTTTCCCTGAAACAGATTTCATGTGTTTGCACACACTTAATTTTATCATTTGGTTACAATTCCAAACTTTTTTCATGATGGTTTTCCTGTGAGGATCATAGACCTAGTACATCTGCCACTATATATCAGATTACCAAGGCATGTTGTCTTCAGCGAGGAAACGGCTCCCGATCA